GTGGTGTCGCAGCTCATAGCAACCTCAGACTCCTGGGCTTAAGTAATTATCTTGTCTCAGCCTCCCAAGTAGCCGGGACTACAGGTGCCCCCCACAATGCCTGGCTATTTTTGGTTGCAGTTGTCTTTGTTGTTTAGTAGGCCTGGGCTGGATTTGAACCCGCCAGCTCCTGTGTATGTGGCCAATGCCCTACCCACTGAGCTACAGGCGCTACCGTGATTTCTGTTTGTCTTGATGATGTTCTGTTCTTTTTGCTTTCTTTTCCTTGTGTAACTGATTATTTTTATTTTTCCTCTCTATTAATTTGGTAGTTATTCCTTTATTATTATTAATTTAATATTTTTTTAAAGATGGGGTCCGCTCTGTTGCCTGGGCTGGAATGCAGAGGTGTCATCACAGCTCACTGTAGCCTAAAACCCTTGGGGTCAAGGAATCTTCCTGCATCATCCTCTCTAGAAGCCAGGAGTTTGCCACCATACCTAGTTAATTTCCCTCTTTTTTGCAGAGATAGGGTTATGCCTTTGCTCAGGTTGATCACCAGCTTCTGTTCTGAAGTAGTCCTCTTGTCTCAGCTTCCCACAGTGCTAGGATTACAGATGGGAGCCACTGTGCCCAACCCCTTTTTTATTATTTAGTGGTTAATCTAGAGGTTAAAATACGCTTTTCTTATGACTAAAAACTAATAAAAATTAGTAAGTATACCTCTTTCTTGACCCATGCAAGCACCTTAGAAGACTTGAGCACTTTAATTTTGTCTTCTTCCTAACTCATATGTTGGATATTTTACTCTATGCATATTTTGTTTTATTTAGTTTTTTGGAGGCAGCATCTTGCTCTGTTATCCAGGCTGGAGTGCAGTGGTGTCATCATAGCTCACTGCAGCCTTGAACGCACAGGCACAAGTGATCCTCCTGCCTCAACCTCTTGAGTGACTGGGGATACAGGCATAGCCAACAAGCCCAGTTAATTTTTTAAAAAAACTTTGTAGGCTTAGTGCCCGTAGCTCAGTGAGTAGGGTACCGGCCACATACACTGAGTCCGGCAGGTTCAAGCCCGGCCTGGGCCTGCTAAACAACAATGACAACTGCAACCAAAAAATAGCTGGGCGTTGTGGTGGGCGCCTGTAGTCCCAGCTACTTGGAAGGCTAAAGCAAAAGAATTGCATAAGCCCAAGAGTTTGACATTGCTGTGAGCTGGATGCCATGGCACTCTACTAAGGGCAATGTAGTGAGACTCTGTTTTTGTAGGGGCTGGGCACGGTGGCTCACATTTGTAATCCCAGCACTCTGGGAGGCCAAGGTGGGTGGATTGCCTGAGCTCATGAGTTTGAGACCAGCCTCAGCTAGAATGAGACCCTATCTCTAAAAATAGCCAGGCATTGTGGCAGGTGCCTGTAGTCTCAGCTACTAGGAAGGCTCAGGCAAGAGAATTGCTTGAGCCTAAGAGTTAGAAGTTGCTATGAGCTATGATGCCAGGGTACTCTACCTGGGGCGATAAAGTAAGACTCTGTCTCAAAAAAAAGTTTTTTTTTTTTTGAGGTGAGGTCTTGATGTGTATATCAGATTGGTCTCAAACTCTTGTCCTCAAGCTGAGCCTCCCAAAGTTCTAGAATTATAGGTATGCACTACCACACCCAGCCTATGTATATTTTAAACCCAAAGAATTGGTATTATTATAACTTTATATTGTCCATTTTACTTTTATTTATCCATATGTTTCCTTTTTTTTTTTTTTTTGAGACAGATTCTCACTATTTTGCCTTTAGTACAGTGCTGTGGCGTCACAGCTCACAGCAACCTTAAACTCCTGGGCTCCAGCGATTCTCTTGTGTCAGCCTCCCTTGTAGCTGGGATTTCAGGCACCCACCACAACACTCGGCTATCATTTTTCTTGTTTGTTTATTTAGCAGGCTTAGGCTGGGTTCGAACCCATCAGCCCCGGTGTATGTGGCCAGCTCCCTAACTGCTGAGCTGCGGGTGCCAAGCCTACATGTTTACTTTTTTCTTTCATATACACCAGTAGTCTTCTCTTTGGAATATTTTCTTTTTCTTTGAAGATCATCCCTATTAGTTTTTCTTTGCTTAAATTGCATTTTTGCCTTCCTTTTTTAAAATTTGTCTTATGGTTACATATATAATATAAAATTTGCAATTTTGGCTTGGCTCTTGTAACTCAGCCATTAGGGTGCCAGCCACATGCACTGGGGCTGGTAGGTTTGAATTCAGCCAGACTTGCTAAACAACAATGACAACTGCAACAAAAAAATAGCCAGGTGTTGTGGAGAGTGCTTGTAGTCCCACCTACTCAGGAGGCTGAGGCATGAGAATCACTTAAGCCCAATTGTCTGAGGTTGCTGTGAGCTATGAAGCCACTGCACTCTACCCAGGGCAACAGCTTGAGACTCTTGTCTCAAAAATAATAATAATAATTTGCAATTTTAACCACTTTTAAATTTTTTTTTTTTTGAGACAGAATCTCTTTGTTACCCTCAGTAGAGTGTCTAGTGTCATAGCTCACAGCAACCTCAAAGTCTTGTGCTCAAGCACTTCTCTTGCCTCAGCCTCCACAGTTGCTGGGACTATAGGCCCCTGCCACAACCCAAGACTAGCCTCAGAGCCTGAGCAAGAGCGAGACCCCATCTTACTATAAATAGAAAAACTGAAGCAAAAGGATCCTTTGAGCCCAGAAGTTTTTAGAGATGGGGTCTCGTTGTAGATCAGGCTGGTCTCGAACTCGTGAGCTCAGGATTACAGGCTTTAGCCACCGAGCCTGGCCTCACTTTTAAATTTTTTAATTGTGACAAAATATACATAATGTAAAAAATTACAGTCTTTTTTTTTTTTTTTTTTTTTTTTGAGACAGAGCCTCAAGCTGTCCCCCTGGGCAGAGTGCCGTGGCATTACAGCTCACAGCAACCTCCAACTCCTGGGCTCAAGCGAGTCTCCTGCCTCCGCCTCCCAAGTAGCTGGGACCACAGGTGCCCGCCACAACACCTGGCTATTTTTTTTTTGGTTGCAGCCATCATTGTTGTTTGGCGGGTCCGGGCTGGGGATTCGAACCCGCCACCTTAGGTGTACGTGGCTGGCGCCTTAGCCGGTTGAGCTATAGGCGCCGAGCCAAAAATTACAGTCTTAATTATTTTTAGTAGTGACTACTCTAGGAACTTCACGTAAGTAGAATTATCCAGTCTTTGTCCTTCTGTGGTGACTTATTTTACTGAGCATAATATCCTCAAGGTTCATCTGTGTTTAGCATGCTCTATGATTTTAGTCATTCTTATTTTCTGCAGTTGACTTTTTGACCCAAATATGCTACTGTGTTTGCTGCTTGAAATCCCAAGTGTAAGGTGTTAACTCCTTTGTTCACAGCAGTGACTCCTCCCCCGGTAGTGTCTGTGATGTGGCATTCACAACAAATTTCCTTTGCTTGCAGCAAGAAGAGTGGACCCTTACCTCTGTCATCATTTGTGATTCATTCTGTTTTCCTTGTTCTGCTAGGATGCTGGTTAGGAGTAGAGTGGGACAATCCTGAGAGAGGAAAGCATGATGGGAGCCACAAAGGGACTGCGTATTTTAAATGCAGGTAACTTTTCATTATGAATTGCTATGGTCATTTAGTCAAGATAATATTGTACAGTTGAATAAAGAGGGGTGGAGAGGTAGACATGTCTGGCTCATGGGGTAGTTATAAGTAGAATTGGGTATGTTCTGAAAAGGAAGTTCTTTGACGTGTGGCTTAATCACCGTTTGTAGAGTCTCCCCTCCTCCTTTTTTCAATACAGAGGTTCTGTTTTCTTTTATTCTTAGCCCTGGGTAGAAGGCCACATATAGCTCACAACAAGCTAAAACTCTTGGGCTCAAGGAACCCTCTTGCTTCAGTTTTTCTATTTTAAGTAAGAAGGGGTCTCGCTCTTGCTCAAGCTGATCTTGAACTCCTGAGCCCAAGCAATCTTCCCACCTCGGCTTCCCAGAGTGCCAGGATTACAGGTGTGAGTCACTGCGCCCAGCCAAGAGAGAGATTCTTAATTGCTCCGGCTGAAGTGTGGTGGTGCAAGCTCACTGTAATCTCTAAATTCATGGGTTCAAGTGATCCTCTTCCCTTGCCCTGCCTAGGAGCTAAGACACCACGGGTGAGTCACTCTGCCTGGCCTGTTTTTTTTTTTTTTTTTTTGGAGACAGGGTCTCATTCTGGTGCCCTCAGTAGAGTGCTATGGTGTCATAGTTCACATATCAAACTCCTGGGCTCAAGCGATCCTTTTGTCTCAGCCTCCCATGCAGTTGGGAATATAGACCTGTGCTACCATGCCCAGCTAATTTTTCTACTTTTATTTTATTTTATTTATTTTTTGAGACAGAGTCTCACTTTGTAGCCCTTGGTAAAGTGCTGTGGCATCATAGCTCACACCAACCTCAAACCCTGGGTTCAAGTGATCCTTTTGCTTCGGTCTCCCAAGTAGCTAGGAGTACAGGTGCCTGCCACAATGCCTGGCTATTTTTAAAGATGAGGTCTTGCTCAGGCTGGTCTCGAACCTGTGAACTCAGGCAGTCTTCCTGCCTCGGCATCCCAGAGTGATAGGATTAAAGGCATGAGCCACTTTGCCCAGCCTAATTTTTCTACTTTTAGTAGAGACAGTCTAACTCTTGTTCAGTCTGGTCTTGAATGTCTAAGCTCAAGCAATCCAGCCTCCTCAGCCTCCCAGAGGGCTAGGATTATAAGCACGAACCACAACACCTGACCACTAGGCTTATTTATAAAACATTTTTTATAGAGATGGGGAGTTGCTATGTGGCCCAGGCTGGTGTGGAGCTCCTGGCCACCTCCTGCCTCAGCCTCCTATCGTGTAGGGATTACAAGTGTGAACCACTGTGCTTGGCCAAGTTTCCCTTTAAAAAAAAAATGTTAGGCTCAATACCCATAGCTCAGTGGTTAGGGTGCCAGCCAGATAGATTTGATCCCAGCCTGGGCCTGCTAAACAACGACAGCTGCAACAGAAAAATAGCCAAGTGTTGTGGTGGGCACCTGTAGTCACAACTACTTGGGAGGCTGAGGCAAGAGAATCACTTTAGCCCAAGATTTTGAGGTTGCTGTGAGCTATGACACAACAGCACTCTACCGAGGGTGACATAGTGAAACTGTCTCCAAAAAAAAAAAAAAATGTTAGCAGGCCAGGCACGGTGGCTTAAACCTATAATCCCAGCACTTGGGAGGCCAAGGCAGGTGGATTGCCTGAGCTCACAAGTTTGAGACCAGCCTGAGCCAAAGTGAAACCTTGCCCCTTTTTTAGCCAGGCATTGTGGGTGCCTATAGTCCTAGCTACTTGGGAGGGTGAGGCAAGAGAATCATTTGAGTCCAGGAGTTTGAGGTTGCTGGTGAGCTGTGATGCCATCACACTCTAATGAGGGTGACAAAGTGAAACTCTATCTCAAAAAATAAAAGAAAAAAAAGAGGGTGGCACCTGCACCTGTGGTTCAAGGAGTAGGGTGCCGGCCCCATATGTTGGAGGTGGTGGGTTCAAGCTCAGTCCTGGCCAAAAAAACCTGGAAGAAAAAAGGAAAAGAAAAAAGAAAGTTAGACTAAACTATGTAAGTGGGATTATTTTCTGGGTTTTTTTTTTTTTTTTTTTTTTTGAGACAGAGTCTCAAGCTTTTGCCCTTGTTAGAGTGCTATGGCATCGCAGCTGACAGCAACCTCAAACTCTTGGGCTTATTTTTTGGTTGGAGTTGTCATTGTTGTTTACCTCGCCCAAGCTGGATTTGAACCCACCAGCCTCGGTGTACATGGCCAGCATTTGTTTTGGACGGTTTTTTAATTGGGTGGATGTAATCCTTTCTAATTGATTAACAATTCATAATCCATTAAAGTGAATAATAGAAAAGAAAAATAGCCCACATGTCCAATAAGAAAGAATTGATTACACACAAAATACAGAACATCTGAATTGTAGAATGTTGAGCCACACTAAATAAAAAGTTCTTGTCATGGGGAGAGTTACATGTTATACTGCATTTCTACCAATGTTTTTTTCTTACCAATATTTTTGAGTGCCTCATGTCAGAGAAATTTCATGAAACTGAAAAGGGAGAAATTTCATGAAACTGATGGGGAGACCTCAGGCAGAGCCTGTCTTTTAAACTTTTTTGTTATTGTTGGTTTTTCCTTATCTTTCAGTTTATCTAAAGCAGTGGTTCTCAACCTGCCTAATGGAGCAACCCTTTAATACAGTTCCTGTGGGTCGTGACCCACAGGCTGAGAACCATTGATCTAAAGGATCTCTTTCCAGTAAGCTGTTTTTTCCTGAAGTGTGGTATAGTGAACACAGTACTGACCAGGGAGTTAGGACATCAGATTTTCTTTTAATAGTCTTCAATTTCTGAACAAGACCAAATTTACTAAACTTTAAAATGAAGGTCAGAGTTAGATTATAGCAAAACATGTCTCCTGATTTACCATTCCATAATTTTAGAAAGTCAGGATAGAAGGTGAATCAGCAGGTTCTTAAGAGGCCAGTCATGTTGGCGGAAATGGAATAGGAACAGCTATAAATCCATCAAGAGTGAGTGATGGACGAAGGGAACAGGTTATGAGTTGAGGGAGGTAAGTTAATAGAAATTTCTTAGCCAGGCCCACAGATCCTTCACTCACCCAGACCTTAACCTCACTCACCCAGACCTTAACCTCCTCTTCTAAAAGCTTGCCCAGATTGTTGATGATCACATGGTCCTTAATGGTCTCTGGATACAGTGATATTTTCAAAGTCTTGGTAACTCTGAGTGGAAAATCAGTTGCTGCAATTCCTGGTTAAAATGGGATTTGCTCTCAAGTAGAGAGAGGAGACCTTGGTTCAGGGGCACGGACTAAACATAGTCATGCATTGCTTAGCACAGGAGATGTGTTCTGAGAAATGCATCCTTAGGTTCTTTTGTTGTGGTGCAAGCATCACGGAATGTACTTACACAAACCTAAATGGCACAGCCTACAGCAGGCCCAGGCTGTCTGTCTCGTACAGCCTGTATCTGAGGCTGCACACCTGCACAGCGTGTTACTGGACTCAATACTGTAGGCGGTTGTAACACAAAGTATTTGTGCATCTAAATATACCTAAACCTAGAAAAGGTATAGTAAAAGTATGATATAAAAAATAAAAATGGTACTGTGAGTGGAGCGAGCGCTCAGTGAGTGACTGAAGGCCTAGGACGTCACTGTGCACCACTGTAGACGTTATAATCACTGCACACCTAGGATCTTACTGTACACCACTGTAGACTTTATCATCACTGTACACTTAGGACGTCACTGTGCACAACTGTGGATGTTAAAATCACTGTGCACAACTGTGGATGTTAAAATCACTGCACACTGAGGACGTCACTGTTCACCACTATAGACGTTATAATCACTGCACACTTAGGACGTCACTGTGCACCACTGTGGACGTTATAATCACTGCACACTTAGGACGTCACTGTGCACCACTGTGGACGTTATAATCACTGCACACTGAGGACGTCACTCTGCACCACTGTGGACGTTATAATCACTGCACACTGAGGACGTCACTGTGCACCACTGTAGATGTTATCATCACTGCACACTTAGGACATCACTGTGCACCACTGTAGACATTATAATCACTGCACACCTAGGATCTTACTGTGCACCACTATAGATGTTATAATCACTACACACTGAGGACGTCACTCTGCACCACTGTGGATGTTATAATAACTGCACACTGAGGACATCACTGTGCACCACTGTAGACATTATAATCACTGCACACTTAGGACGTCACTGTGCACCACTGTGGACGTTATAATCACTGCACACTGAGGACGTCACTGTGGACCACTGTGGACGTTATAATCACTGCACACTGAGGACATCACTGTGCACCACTGTAGACGTTATAATCACTGCACACTTAGGACGTCACTGTGCACCACTGTAGACGTTATAATCACTGCACACTTAGGACGTCACTGTGCACCACTGTGGACGTTATAATCACTGCACACTTAGGACGTCACTCTGCACCACTATAGACGTTATAATCACTGCACACTTAAGACGTCACTGTGCACCACTGTGGACGTTATAATCGCTGCACACTGAGGACATCACTGTGCACCACTGTGGATGTTATAATCACTGCGCACTTAGGATGTCACTGTGCACCACTGTGGACGTTATAATCACTGCACACTGAGGATGTGGACGTTACAATCACTGCACACTTAGGCTGCCCTAAATTTATAAAAAATATTTTTCTTCAATAATAAACCTTAGTTTACTATAATATTTTACTTTATGAACTTTTCAATTTTTTGACTTTTTTTTAATTTACTTTTTTGTAGTAACACTTAGCTAAGGACTCAAGCATATTGTACAGCTGTACAGAAATATTTTTTCTTTGTACATTATGCAGTATGTGACTGTATTTGAGTCTGGTGGACCACTTGAGCTTAGGAGTTGAAGACCAGCCTGAACAAGAGCAAAACCCCATCTCTAAAAATAGAGATGGCGAATGCCCGTAGTCCCAGCTACTCCGGAAGCAGAGGCAGGAGGATCACTTGAGCCCAAGA